TCCTCTAAAAATCAATGGAAAAATATTAATAAAAGTAAACTCTGCACAATTGAAATACAGAAGCAGAAATATGGAGGGTAGACCTGCTAGTAGGTAATATTTAATTAATAATTACCTTAAAAGGTCACCATCTTTTTCCAAATCACACAGTAATAAAACCAGAAGCCGATGAGATCAATAATGCTTATTCAGTGCATATCCCATGACTGGCATGTTCCGCTGTTTCTCACATCTGAATCTTTTCTCAGGACTCCCTGGCATAGATTAGGTTCATTTGTGGCACACTTTCACTTAAACATATTGACATCAAACCAGTTATAAAAACCCATATGCTTACAGCTCCTATGTAAATACAAAACAAACAAAAATAGAAATCAAATGGAGATACAGCAGACAAAACACCCAAATGTGCCATCTTAATGTATACAACAGGTGACATTGCTTTGCAGAAACCAAACCCTGTCTCAACCATAGATGTGTCTGAGTCCTGGCGTGTCAATATCGATCTGATAATAAGGGACTGATCTGGTGATCATGGTGAACATGGGTGTTCCACGGGGATACAGTTCTCCCACCAATTTTCTCCGATCTGGCGAGGCCTCACCCACACCTGCAGCATGTCATCACACCAAGGTGTCGCATCTCAGGATAAATAAAGCATGCATGTGCTAAATTCCTAGATTTTTTCTCATTTCCAAAATGATAAAAGAAGTAATACTGGCCACCAATGTGATTGCAAACATGAATGCAAACAAAAGAGCTGTATAGTGACAGGACAGAGTTACAAATGATCATTATATTATACGGTTTTATAAATGACCAAGCATCTGCCTATGGTGTTAGGATGATTATACAGTGGGGCCTTGACTTATGAGTTTAATTAGTTCTGTGACGGAGCTCGTAACTCAAATTACTCGTATGTCAAATCAATTGTGAACGAGTGAGACACGTGATGCTGGGCTGATGTTGTGGCGTTCACTGTGACGTTCGCTGCGCCAACTAGCGGTGGGGTATCTGAAGCTGGCTCGTAACCCGAATTTTAGCTCGCAACTCAAAGCAAAAAATCGGCCGAGAGACGGCTCGTATCTCGAAAAACTCGTTAGTCGGGACACTCGTAAGTCAAGGCCCCACTGTAGTAATAAAATGAAGTTCTGAATCCCAGTAATGTACTCTGTAACCACCCAGGCGCCATCCCGCCACAGTTGTAAAACACGCAGTAACTGAAATGCGTTTTGTTTTTTCTCTTCAGGATGTCACAGGGGCAGGAACTCGGTGGACAGAGCCCAGGCAAGAGCTGCTGGGACCCGGGAGTGAAGGTAAGTGGTGTGATTCGCTCACTCTAGTGAGCGGACGCTATCCAGGCCAAGGGAGTGCAGCACCCCTAGGTTGCGACAATGGGAAGGTGAAGTTCAGGCACCCAGAGGTGGCGGCCTGTGGTCTCAAGTAGCTGTAGGCAAGGTCAGGGAAGATCGACTTTCTTCTGGAAGATCTGGTCAGAGAGAGTCAGGGCAAGAGTCAAGATGCAGGGGCCCAGCCACTGGTCCCCGAAAGGTAGCCGGACCTTGGCTTTGCATTTCAGGGCAGCAACTTGTTCTGAGATCTCGTGTAAGGCAAGAGTGGGTCAGGAGCAATACTCAGCCCAGGTTTGGGGTTAGTAAAGCAAGAGGAGGACCAGGGAGTGAGGGGAGTCGGACAAGCTCAGAGCACAGGGAGCCTTGATTTGCAATACCATTGTGGAAAGGAGAAACATTGAAGGGGTGATTGCACTTGTAGAAATGGGGGGAAATTGAAGTGTGTGGTGGCAGAAACATGAACTGTAATTTAGACTGATGTCACTCATTTAAAACTTTTATATTGAAATGATGGATTGCATTTTTTTTTCAGCTGAAAAGTTGGCAATTAAACCCCAGTGATCTATAACTGTCCCATAAAATACTTTGAAATATATTTTCTTATTTAGATATATTGATTCTTCATGTTTACAACAGCAGTGAGATACTTAAACTCATATAAATTTTCCAAGTCCTTAAGAGGGAAAAAAATTTTTTTAAAAATTAGGATGGTATTGACCCATAGAAATAATGCATGTTAAAATGGTTGCGAATGAAAGAAATCAGAATTCTTTATAATGGAAGAAGTAGATCATGAATATCATAGAGATTATAACACAACAGGGCATTTAAATGTACTCACTTAAGTACCTGCTATCTTTGCACTAAGACAAAAGGTAAGAAATAGGACCAGCAAAATGGAAGCACATGGTAATGTATCACTCTTTCCTCATTTTAATGTGTTGCTACGGGAAGGAATGCTTTCTTCCCGAGATGATGGGGAAGTTCTGATTTCCTTGACATCTCACTTCATTTTTAGCAAAATTCAAACACAAGGCCAGGTGTTTTGCTATGAGAAAGCCTTTAGGTGCTGTTGTAGCTGCTGTTGTAGTTAGAAACCAGGTTGTATATGGTGGTGGCTCCTTGTTCTCCTGGCCCTGAGGTTGGTGTGATGGAGTTCCCAGGGAACGGGCTCGTTGGTGAGTGTCAGACAGTGTGGAAACCATTTTATTTGAATGACGTTAGCAGATGTGGCTATTCCGTCAGGCAGACCACAGGGACTTGCACTCTCTTCTGGAAGGTGCCCAAGGTGCAGTCCAGCCCCCGGGGGGTTTCACTCAGTACTGGGTGACTTAGACACATGACTTCATAGGTAGAGAGATAATGAGAAAGAATGTATTCCAAAAATGTTGTATTTCGTCTTAACTGTTAGCATCCTTCACGTAGCAGCAGCAAATCGATAGTGTGTTTGCTACAGTTTATGTACAGGTTTAGATGTGACAGGCCAAAGCCACCTGTCGTATTGAAACCAAAATGTGGATAGTGTGAGTCCGAGTTCCTTTCATGGTAATGTATCACTCTTTCCTCATTTTAATGTGTTGCTACAGGAAGGTATGCTTTCTTCCCGAGATGATGGGGAAGTTCTGATTTCCTTGACATCTCACTTCATTTTTAGCAAAATTCAAACACACGGCCAGGCGTTTTGCTATGAGAAAGCCTTTAGGCCTCATAGCTGCTGTTGTAGTTAGAAACCAGGTTGTATATGGTGGTGGCTCCTTGTTCTCCTGGCCCTGAGGTTGGTGTGATGGAGTTCCCAGGGAACGGGCTCGTTGGTGAGTGTCAGACAGTGCGGAAACCGTTTTATTTGAATGACGTTAGCAGACGTGGCTATTCCGTCAGGCAGACCACAGGGACTTGCACTCTCTTCTGGAAGGTGCCCAAGGTGCAGTCCAGCCCCCGGGGGGTTTCACTCAGTACTGGGTGACTTAGACACATGACTTCATAGGTAGAGAGATAATGAGAAAGAATGTATTCCAAAAATGTTGTATTTCGTCTTAACTGTTAGCATCCTTCACGTAGCAGCAGCAAATCGATAGTGTGTTTGCTACAGTTTATGTACAGGTTTAGATGTGACAGGCCAAAGCCACCTGTCGTATTGAAACCAAAATGTGGATAGTGTGAGTCCGAGTTCCTTTTCTCACAAAGCGGAAGAAGGGATTCACGGAGGACAGAATGGGTTAAGGGAGGCGACGTTTACTGGGAGAAGCGGTCCTGGAAAAGGTGCCGGGGGTTCCATGCAGCAGCAGGTGTAGCTTGGCATCCAAGGGAGTTAAAGCTTATCATCAGGCGGCGTGCGGAGGCCCACATGGCTGTCAGCTCGGGCTCAGGGAGCATGTCTCCGACCATCAGCCCAAGACTCTGCTGGGGAGAGAGAGGGAGAGAGAGAGGGAGCCCTATAGCTTTTTAATTTGGGGAGTGGATATGGCCTTGCTAGCTCCTGATTGGTCTTTTCAAATAATTCTGCCTTAGCAATATCCTCGGGATTGGTGTATATGCCTCACTGCCTTGTGATTCTGGAAGGTGCCCAAGGTGCAGTCCAGCCCCCGGGGGGTTTCACTCAGTACTGGGTGACTTAGACACATGACTTCATAGGTAGAGAGATAATGAGAAAGAATGTATTCCAAAAATGTTGTATTTCGTCTTAACTGTTAGCATCCTTCACGTAGCAGCAGCAAATCGATGGTGTGTTTGCTACAGTTTATGTACAGGTTTAGATGTAATAGGCCAAAGCCACCTGTCATATTGAAACCAAAATGTGCATAGTATGAGTCCGAGTTCCTTGTCTCACAAAGCGGAAGAAGGGATTCACGGAGGACAGAATGGGTTAAGGGAGGCAAAGTTTACTGGGAGAAGCGGTCCTGGAAAAGGTGCTGGGGGTTCCATGCAGCAGCAGGTGTAGCTTGGCACCCAAGGGAGTTAAAGCTTATCATCAGTCCGCGTGCGGAGGCCCACATGGCTGTCAGCCCGGGCTCAGGGAGCATGTCTCCGACCATCAGCCCAAGACTCTGCTGGGGAGAGGGAGGGAGAGAGGGAGCCCTATAGCTTTTTAATCTGGGGGGTGGATATGGCCTTGCTAGCTCCTGATTGGTCTTTTCAAATAATTCTGCCTTAGCAATATCCTCGGGATTGGTGTATATGCCTCACTGCCTTGTGATTGGTTATTTGCAAGCTGCTTGTCTTAGCAATATCCGTACATTTTCAAGTCCATGCCTTCCCCGCTCAGTTGGGGTGTCTTAGTAACTCTACCTAGTTGGGTTCCCCAGTTTTAGTTCCTCTTCCCCCCATGGTCCCGATTCCTGACCGTCTAGCTTTCCTCTGTTTCCTCAGGACCAAGCATGTATGTGGCAAAAGTAGACTATTCTATCAGTAAAGTGACATTTTTCAGGGATTGGAAAGATATTCCACGAAAGCTTATTTTTATGACATTTGTACCATAAGGTGTGTGATATATAAACTTCGCCAGGACATTCCATGTGGATGATACTCTGCTCCATGGTAAAGTCATGTAACTGTGGGTCCTGTGTCATGAGCCAGAAAGTGAGCTTTACAATGTAGATAAATATCTGAACATTTTGTCAGAAGTATTTCTAGAGAAAAACCAAGGGAGTTAAAGCTTATCATCAGTCCGCGTGCGGAGGCCCACATGGCTGTCAGCCCGGGCTCAGGGAGCATGTCTCCGACCATCAGCCCAAGACTCTGCTGGGGAGAGGGAGGGAGAGAGGGAGCCCTATAGCTTTTTAATCTGGGGGGTGGATATGGCCTTGCTAGCTCCTGATTGGTCTTTTCAAATAATTCTGCCTTAGCAATATCCTCGGGATTGGTGTATATGCCTCACTGCCTTGTGATTGGTTATTTGCAAGCTGCTTGTCTTAGCAATATCCGTACATTTTCAAGTCCATGCCTTCCCCGCTCAGTTGGGGTGTCTTAGTAACTCTACCTAGTTGGGTTCCCCAGTTTTAGTTCCTCTTCCCCCCATGGTCCCGATTCCTGACCGTCTAGCTTTCCTCTGTTTCCTCAGGACCAAGCATGTATGTGGCAAAAGTAGACCATTCTATCAGTAAAGTGACATTTTTCAGGGGTTGGAAAGATATTCCACGAAAGCTTATTTTTATGACATTTGTACCTTAAGGTGTGTGATATATAAACTTCGTCAGGACATTCCATGTGGATGATACTCTGCTCCATGGGAAAGTCATGTAACTGTGGGTCCTGGGTCATGAGCAGAAAGTGAGCTTTACAATGTAGATAAATATCTGAACATTTTGTCAGAAGTATTTCTAGAGAAAAATATTGCAAACAACAGCAACACCCCAACACCTAGCTTCGACTATTATGACTGCCACACACAAGAAAATGACATGAGCTGATCTCCTGTATGGGGCATCTTCCCTTTCCTTACGGGATCCCCTGGTTGAGTTCAGTGATAGTGGAGATTTTATCTCCTGTCTCATAACCGCAAGTTTCCAAAGCTTCAAAAGGCCTCATGGAAATCATGCAGGTTATTAGTGGTTCCCAGAGTGAGGTGTTCAGAGAATGCCTGCGTCCTCGGTGTATCATCAAAAATAACCGTAGTGATAGTGACACCCAAACAACCAGTCGGAGTTCTGGGGATTGTGTCTCACCAAGTTGAGGAATAAAATCACGGACCAGGAGATTTAAGCAAGAGTGTGGGAATTTACTATAAGGGGACACCAACTGCCCACACGGGGAGCGGGCCCAGGAATGGGCTGCCACCGAAGCTCCTTTGTCTGGGAGATTTTATTAGCTATGGACCTGCTCCTTGTCTGTTTGTCTCACGCTCTGACTGGCTCCTTCTACCTGTCACCTGGCGCTTCCCCCTGCTTCTCCCCTCCTTCTCCCCCGTCTCTTACAACCTCCTGACCTGCAGGATACATGTCCTTGTGGTTTGTAGCTGGACCCCGCTTGGCCCTGCAGTTATGTCCGCACTTCCTCCTTCCACCCCGTCTCTTGCAACCTTCTGCACGTGCAAGGCAGGTATTCTCGTCTTGTGGGACCGTTACCTGCAAGGCAGCATTCCTGTGGTGGTAGCTGGTCCCAGTGGTCTCCTCCACACGGCCTCCTTCCTCCCCCCTTATTCTGCCGCCTAGTCCTGCTTCTGCCTCCTCTCGGTGGGAGCCCCAATACATTTACTAGTAACTGCCACAGATCCCGAGTGGTGATCGCGTTCCTCCTGAACTCTCACAAACGGCCAGGTGATCTGACCCTCTAAATCCTTGCTGCCTCCTCCTCCCAAGACTTCCCGACTCGCCCAGGGCGCCAGGTGCCTCTCAGTAAGGCTGGCATTTCCCAGTGGGCGCTGACCATTCCACCAGCTTCCTGGTCTTTGTTTGCCTGGAAGCATGGCCCCAGAATGCCCCTGACATGAATCCAGCACCCCCCTCCAACCCCCATAAATTATAATTATCGACTCACATAAACGTTGCCTCTCCTATAAATACCTTTGTCTCTCTTCCTCCTCTTCTTTCAAAGAGTAAAGTCAGCACAGCCGGTGCGGCTCAGTGGTTGAGTGTCGACCTATGAACCAGGAGGTCACAGTTTGATTCCCATCGGGACAGGTGTCCAGGTTGCAGGCTCCATCCCCAACAGGGGGCCTGCAGGAGGCAGCGGATCAATGATTCTCTCTCATCACTGATGTTTCTCTCTCCCTCTCCCTTCACCGCCAGCTCCAGCGGCTTCTCTGCGGCAAAGCACCGCGCTCCCTCCGCTTGGGCGATGGAGGGGGAACCCGCGGTTCTGGGGAAGGTGTGAGGGGGCGCCACTGGGGCGCGCAGCCCACAGGAGCGCTCGGGGTGTCCACCCTTGGGAGACGGGGGGCAGGGAGGGGTCACGTTTTTTCTCCGTAAGATTCTGAACAGGATCCAACCTCCCAACTAAAAAAATACAAAAATGCATGAAAACAAATAAAACCGAATAAGCCAAACCCAATGGGTAGCCGCTGTCTGGAGACGGAAGCAGCTCTGGCACCTGCCTGGCCGGATCCCTCTCCCTTCCTCTTTGAAATCAATACAAATATATGTTTTTTTAAAAGAGTAAAATGGGATTGGCAGATTCGTTTAAGGACCATATCATGGTTTGCAGAGTCGCTGCTGCATACAATCTTGTATTACGGACATCGTGGATGGAATATTTGAAACCTTGACCTCCATGTGAAAAAGGTAAACCCATTATATCAAAGTGCAGTTTGCTCTGACAGCGACGCATCGGAAGGCCTAGAATCACCCATTAAGTCCTTCCAGGCGCGAGGAGAAAGCCTTCAGCAAATCCCTGAAGGCTCCCCTCCCAGCCCCACCGTCTGCTCATCATCTTCCCTGAGCGCGCACCAAGGGGTCCTGTGCGCATCCACCTGGAGGGACGCGCCCACCCACACCTGGGAGGACGGGAACCTGCAGAGACCAGCTGGTGAGAGGGAGGGCGAGGGCGCGCCCAGGCCCAGGGCTGTGGTCTGGCCCCTTCACCACCCGGCGAGGACCCCACCCCGTTCCGTTCGCGTTAGGCCGCCGTGGGCTCCGTGCAGGTCTC